GCCTTCTAAGCTGTGAATATTCCGTGAAGTGGAGTGAGAATTCTTACTTGCGAGTGTGCAAGTAACGACCAGCCCGCTTCCACTCTTCCAATTGTCCCCTACCTTTGGCTGAAAATGGTAAATTATTTGCCTTTATTTTCACGAAGTTTATTTTCATAGCTATCTATAGGAAGGCATGCTTCGGAAAAGTGGCTAAATTTTGTGAAGGCACAAAGAAAAAATCCAAATCATTGAATATCCATACTGAAACCTTCGTTTAGAGAAATTGTCATCGATTTTGACCACTTCCCTAAGAGCTAATTGCTTGAATTCAGCTGCATAATAAAGATCTCTACGATCATAGAGGCCTATACGTCACTGGGGAAGTTAAGTCTAAATCGCATCCACTGGAGAATTGGGTTTTGATTTTTGGACAGTTTGTGATTAACCCCAGAGAATGATAGGCTAATGTGAGAATTGAATTCATCGTAGCAAACCACGGTTGCTAGTCGTTCGTATTATATTTAGGTCCATTGGTTGGTGGCCTGCTTCAGCGCTCTACTCTGCGGATACGCGCATGCGTTATTTACTGATCAAGGTGGGGAAATTCAGACTGCTGCAATGAATGCAAAAAGTAACTTCTTCAGAAAGTGCCAGCTATCCCGCGCTGGTCACTGATGCCGATTATGTGAACTTCGCCGAAGGTTGTGCAGGAAAAGAAGTCCTCGGATTCAAAGAAACCGTTCAAAAGGAATTCCATGCAATTAGGATCACCGAGCTTTGTTCAACAATCTTTTCGTTAATGCTCGTAGAATCAACTTCCATATCTACGTGCAAAACACGGGATTCATAAATCTAGATCTGCCCAAAGTCGAATATATCAGAGTTGGGTTGAAATCAAACGCCTAGTCTAACCCCTGTTCTTACGATTACTTAACGCGAACGTGATCATCGGAGCCTTTGAGGAGATCCATCAATATCTGTAATCTCTACGAACCTGGGCGATCACTGGTCCTTGATCACTACTATTAATAGGTATCCTTCTCTTTTCCACGAGGAAATGATCCTAGTGAAAATGACGCAAACTGGTTGGTAAGCTACTGCGAATTGTGGGGGCCCGTAGGGAACAAAAGAAGCGAGATAATCAGAAAAGGCGAAGTTGATCAACAGCAGGCACTATTTGACTTACATGAGGGCATTGCTTACCCAATATAAGTAGAAAGGGGGAGGGGGCATTGGGCATTGCCCGTCTCCCATTAGAAGGTCATTACAGGAAGATTTTGGTAGACGGTTCAAGAGACAGTCGGTTGAGCTTGGTATAAATAGAGGCCTCTTTTCTAAAGTTAGCAATTGCGTGGGTACGATTATCAGTAAAAAGCCGATTTCAGGTATTACAATAAGAAATAACGCTCAGCTGGTACGATTCAGCATTTTGAGACGCTATCAATTCGACAGAAATGTTTTCGGGCCAACTGTAGTTACGGTGGATGGCAATAGAGTGTTGAACCAGGCTAGCATGGAGAGTCTTCGATATCTCTGCTCGTACTGTGATATCTTCAAGTGGTCCAGTAAGTTCTTTCGGTCTCAAACAGAAATTTCAAGTGTAATAACAAATAGGATTCAAAATGAAAACACAATGATAAGTCCACGAACTTTAGTGGTTCTGGAAAATGAAAAAGTGGACTCAGTCCATGATGGGACAGGGACGTTTATCGTAATCCAATGCTTCTGATCGACTATTTCATTCAAAGGGTTGTAGAGGAACACAGCACATTGCAACCCACATTTTCTTTAAAAGTTGAGCGGTTTTCTAAATTTTATAATTCATTTTTTAGAATGCAGTGCAATCGAGCCGGTCTCACCTTTCAACTATGGTCAACTAATCCAACAATGTCGAGGAGAGAAGATTATAAAAACACGACCGTACAGCCATTTTGTGTTGGACCTGAGTCAGATGAGATACTCGCAGTTTACGGCTCTTTTCAAAGAGGCCACTCACGTTCAGATGTCTATCAGAATGAGGAATGTGCTTTGGACCGAAATAGAATTCCCGAAGCTCCTGCGATTGCTACCTACCATGTAAGGTATGAATTCTTACCACTTAAGTAATGAAGAATTCTAGCTGTAGAGTTACTGAAGTAACAAACTTATTTGGATAGGAATTTCATAACAAAAGTCCTTAGAAAATTCAAACAAACTTATAATAACCATTTTCTTCTTGGCTTCTTGGGATTTGGTCAAGAGTTTTCGAGAAGAGTCCTTTTTCGGAGAATCTTATAGCCTTCGTAGAGGCATGTCTGTCACATGACAAAAATCGCAAAGAAAAAGGAAGTGATCGAGAAATACAAATGATTTCAGGAGTACATTGTTTTGATGCCATGTACAATAGGAATTTGAGGAGAATAAGCTTCCCCGCCTACCATTCCGAAGGCTTTGGATCATTGAATTACCATCAGTCTATCAAAATTCAGTACAACTACGTTCTGCACCATGAAGTTATCCAATCCTTGCAGTCGCGATGTAACTCATGCCATCTCCGACCGTATAAAGGTAGATCCTTTTCTCATACAATCTGAATTTTTATCGGGTAATATTCTGTGCATAGAAAGAAGTGTCGTGGTGGTTACACCACTACAAGTATTCCTGGACAGTTTAGAAAAAGGATACACAGTGCCAAATTATTTTGGTATCACCATTCCGACCCAAGTTTACGGTATTACTTGTAGGGGTTAGTTGAAACGGAAGGTCCCCTCGAAACGATCCGCACAGCCCACACGAACTACAAGATGCACTAACACTTCCACATCCAAGTTTTTCGACTCGAAAATCTCGCCTTAGGATACTCCAGGCAACGACGCCATTTTATATGACAAAAACCAAAAGCTAAGTCCCCGAAACGCTATCACTACCAAAAACAATAGAAAGTTCCCCTGCAGAAAAGAGCATGCAGTCAGTCTTCGAGAAAAGCTTGCTCTGTTCCATAGTTAGAAGAAGTCATGAACTCAATGCTGGCTTTGAAGTTTTTGACTTTTCAGAATGTGCCTCTATTGAAGAACATCTGGCGAAAAACATTACTGAATTTGTTCAAATGTGCGCCGGCACGAAAGTGTGGAAACCAAGGGGAGTAGCCGTTATCGAACTGGACATCTCATCACTCGAACAGGAGACTGTCGACGAGCTTTTCCAAAGTGTAACCTACATAAAAATGTGCATCACCATGCGACAATCACAAATTCAGTACCTACGCATGCCGAACCTGGTCGAAGTGCACACATGCAAGAAAGGTAGGGAGCCATAAATTTCTGCACTGTGCATGCGCTTAATGGCGTGTTTCTAGGTCGCCCAGCATTCACTATAGAGGGAAATCCGAAACTAGAGATCATTCATGGATCCACAACTTTTAAATGGGATGTCAGTATTGAGCCCTTCTATGTTACTTACAACCCAGCGCTAAAACAGTACCCTCCATGGGAGAAATGCAAGTACTGCGTGTTCGAGCCAAATACGAGTAAGTCTTGTTTTTAGAAAATTAGAAGCTTTAAGAGGCAGACTAAGCTTTTATGGAGACCTTAAAATAGTGACCAAAGTGATTTTGCTCAAGTTGATCTATTCCAGGGTGCGGAGTGATCTGGCCGGCCCTGGCTTATACTACACTTGAAGAGATTCTGCAGAACTGTATGGGAAAACCAAGGATTGTATTCAACGAAGTGGTCACTGTCACGCAGGAGCAGTTCACACAGCTTTGTTTTCAAGCCGTATATCTGCAAATGTGCTTCAATATCACTAATACCGACTA